GCTGAGGTGTAAGAGAACCCATAGGCTAGGGGGCAGGCAGTATACCAAGTCTCACTAAAGAAATGGGATATGAGTTCCCTCTAAGAATCCAAACCTTACCATTCTCTGCCAAAATAAATAAATACATGCATGCATACATACATACACACAACAACAATAAAACCCAATATTATACATCCTATCTCACAATATGAAATGACAAAAAAATTGGAAATTAGAAGACATGTGAGTCAAAGAATGGCTTTACAGGGGAGGGCACCGTTGTTACTTGCAATGGCAAGCATAAATATATAAATGTGATACCTAAAAGTTTATAAAAGTATTTATTAATAGGGGCGCCTGGGTGGCTCAGTCAGTTAAGCGTCCGACTTCGGCTCAGGTCATGATCTCACGGTCCGTGAGTTTGAGTCCCACGTCGGGCTCTGTGCTGACAGCTCAGAGCCTGGAGCCTGCTTCAGATTCTGTGTCTCCCTCTCTCTGACCCTCCCCATTCATGCTCTGTCTCTCTCTGTCTCAAAAATAAATAAACATTAAAAAAAAATTTTAAAAAAGTATTTATTAATAAATGATTTCTTAGAACCCTAGAAAATCTCTTTCAGGTGGTTTGCTCGGCAAAGGTCCCCATGCAACAAGTGAAAAGAAAAGCAGAGGCCCAGAGAAGATGGACTTGTTTCAACACTGGCATTAGCCATTGCAAATCCATGTCCTTCCTACCTCACTGCCTTTGTTGTACCAAGCATACAGTCCATAGGGTCTTTTGTTCAATTAGTGTGATCCTGGAAAAAGTTTGAGTCATTTTTCTTCATCTCAAATGTATTTCATAAGTCATTTATATTATTACAAACTTGTCATGACTTAAATAAAATCATACCTATAGCATATGGCATAATATGCTATTTATTCAACAGCCAATTAGATATAATGAAAACATACCAGTCTAATTACACAAGAAAGTAGGAAGATGGCAGAACACGGAAAAAACAATGATAATCCTCTATGAAAATTTGAATGTAAATTTGTCATTGAATAAATGAATGAATCTATAACTAACTTAATGATATTTACTGTGTCACATTTGCTTGACTAAGAAAGATAAATTGTCATATAACAGGATTTACAAGTATGCAGATGCTGATGTGGGTATAGAGGGATACCACGGGAATAAAGAACGAGCATTTAATTTACCAACAAATTGACTCCAAAAGTTGAGTTAGAATTTAGGCTTATTTTCACAAAGCAATATTCTAAATTGGGGTTTTCGAGGTTGCCCAAAGAATCATGTTAAGTGTGAAGGATGGCAGTAAGACTTCTTTGGAATCTAAGTATCATTTAAAACACTGCTGCTAAAAGACGGTACAAAGTCAAGAGGCCAGAGACTCGTCACTACTTCTAAGCCCAACCTTCCTGATGTTTCTTCTTGGCCTCCTTTCCCCACACCCTCCCTTCCAGCTTCTGCTTCCAGCTGACACGAATAACTATTTGTTGAATACAAGCAGAAATCAAGGAACAGTGCTGTACTCTCCCTTTAACCCTGACAGCAAGCTCAAAGGTGGTCTGCAATGGTAGGAAACTCTCGCAAGAGAAATAAAGCAGAGTTGAGGATGACAGTGGTGGTGGTCAAGGAACGGTGAGGTGGGGATGAATGAGGATGGCTCCAGTGGAAAAACGCTCTGCCCCACTGACACAAACAATTTAAAGATAGAGGCCATTTGTGAGTCAGGCATTAATGTTTTGAAAACATTTTATGTTGTTTCTGGATCAGAGTTCTAATGAGTAACAGTAGCTAATGGCTGCAGTATGTGGTCCATCAATTTGCCACCCTGAATTCAAGAGCTCTTCTCAAGCCACCCAGTATAAGCCACCATCTTCTCTTACCTGGACCATTGCTACAGTCTCCTAGCTAGCTGGTCTCCCATCTTCCATTCTTACCACTCCCCTCCTTCCACATACACATTCCATCCCACGCATTATGCCCAACCCAGCAGCCAGAGTGGTCTTTCTAAAACATAAATCCAATTATGTTACATCCCGTTGGAACCAGCCAATAGTTTTCAATTATCCTTGAAATAAAATCCAAATTAGGGGGTTCCTGGGTGGCTCATTCAGTTAAGTATCCGACTTAGGCTCAGGTCATGATCTCGTGGTTCATGGATTCGAACCCCACTTCAGGTTCTGTGCTAGCAGCTCAGAGCCTGGAGCCTGCTTCGGATTCTGTGTCTCCCTCTCTCTCTGCCCCTCCTCTGCTCATGCCCTGTCTCCCTCCCTCCCTCTCTCTCTCTCTCTCTCAAAAATAAATAAACATTAAAAAATTTTTTTAATCCAAATTAGTGCATGGGGTCTGATAAGACCACACCCACTGGTACCTCTGATTTTATTTCCTACCTCTCTCTCCCATGCTATCACATTCCAGCCACAGTATTCCTGCTGGCTGCCATCCTGGGGTGGGGTGGGGGTTTACTTATGATGCCCTCTTGCTGGAATTTTCTTCGATAAAATCTTCTACACAGCTCATCATCCCAGCCTCTAATTCGATGTTACTTCCTCCCAAACACCCAATCTACAGGTTCTTCCCCCATCACTTTCTAGCTCACTACCCCATTTTATTTTCTTCAGAGCACTTACCATTGCATTATTTGTCTATTTGTTCATTCCACAAAGCAGCAACTTTGTCATTTTCTCCTTTTTGAAATCGACTAAACTAAGAAAACAACCCTTTCCTAAACTTTCTTCATCCAGATCACTCCATCATATTTCAAGGGTCATTCCCATCCCACCGCCCCATGCCCAAATACCTTTAATAAAATGTCTCCAGCACTCAGTTAGTATTATAATTGCACACATGTATTTTCTATTTGTTGTAAGCAAATGCTCATGAGGGAGCTTCAGCAGCAGAGATTTTGTAAAAAGTTATCTTGAGTTTCTAGAGGAATGGAAGGGATGACTACTGATCATTAACTTACAAAGCTCTCAAAGATTCTTCTTCCCTACAGGGGGCATCACGTGCCTTCCAATGGCCTTATTTCAGTGCCCACATAGCCAGACAAGAGAACCCCAAAGCCATATTCCAATAACAGTAGCTACTCCTATTATCTTCAGAGCCCCTCATACTAACACCCACAAAAAGGTCAATGCCAATATGCCTGGAACTTGTCTAAATAAAACCTCTGTGGGATAAGGTTGACTTGGACAACTGCAGCATCTCTGGGATTCTTGCATACACTTGTGATTGAAGACATGAGCTCAGAAGCCAGATAGCCTGAGTTTGAATTTCTGCTTTGCCACCAACTAGCTATGTGACCTTGGGAAATTAGTTATGCTCACAAACACCAAGTATTCTGCAATAAGGGAAACTGAGTCCTACAGAAAGGACTTTTTGAATAGTTGGGGTTTTTTTTTTGTTTGTTTGTTTACTTTTCTCTGAAAAATGGGGATAACAACAGCACTTATCCTTAGGGTTACAATGTGGACTGAATGAGTCCATATAGGACCATATATAGGTGTTTTAACCTATAAAAAAACACCAGCTATTATTATTATGAATCCTCAGCAAAATCTTTTGCTTTCCCCAGAATAACTGATAAAAGCTTCCAAACCAATATGAATTTAAATGTACATAAATAGTCCTCTAGGTCCTTGGAAACAAAATGTATCTAAGAGAAGATCTCTTAAGGCAAATGAACACAAAAGAAGAAGACACTCTATTTACTGATTTTTCTATCTAGACAGGCATCTCAGAGCTCCCAAAGCTGTGGTCTTTGAAGACTGGAGCTTTCCGCGGAATGACAGGGTTATCTGAGCAGCCAGCAAAGGAAAGAAACCATTGCTAATCCTCAGACCCTTACAACAACCACTCCATGTTTGACTGAAGTCAGTGAAATATATGACATAAAAAAATATTGTAAAGCTTTTGTGTAAAAATTGTTTCCGTACATTTCTATAATATTCTATTTCCCTTACTGAAGAAAACTTAGTGGCCATCAACTGATCATCTGATTAATATACTATTGTTCACAAAGTACTTAGGAAGCAGAAAGAACCATGTAAGACAAGAAACTTGAACTCTAACAACTGACAAAGGCACCTTGTAGGACTTTCAAAAAGAATACCAAGCCAGGATTGGAAGGACTTTTAACTCTGAAATGTATGCCCTTTACAGCCAAACAAAATTGAGGCAATCTTACCTGTAAATAGCTTTCTAAATCACAAAGTATTCTTATCTAATGTTTGTGGACTGCATTATAAGCACCAAAAATAGCTCAGGTCAGACCAGAGCTCTTAAAATTTCCAAAACATAGTTTAATTTCATCCATGACCTCCCAAATTTAGCAGTATCACTTGATAGCACTCTAATGGGTCCACAAGATTGATAGGACTTTTTGCACTTTTAAAGCTACCAGATTAAAATGAGTAGTAAGTCACAGGGCCAAAATGATTAACATCTAACATGAGCCAGAGAACATAATTATCATAATTCAGGCTTTTACATAGATATCAAATTTTCAAACAACAAAATTCATATAAACAATTACCTGGGGCTTGCTTGAAGACTATTGATTTGGACATTTTCAAAAGCCTGCCATTTGAAACAGATGTCACAGCCAACAATTCCAAAATTCTTTATTAACTCTGCATCAGTGCTATTAATTTCATTCTTAAGATGCTCTATATCCCTGGGTTTTTTCAACACATTATTTAATGAAAATTGTCCCTATATCAGTATCTCATCATTATTACAAAGAAGGAAATTTCCAACTACTGACCCCTAACTCCATTTCTTTGGGTTAGCAAACATGTGACTATACCAGAGCAATAAAAGAAATTTGACGGGAGTATTATAAATTAAGAATCTATGAAGAAAAAACAATGCTTCTTCAAACACCCCAAGCTATGTCTTACTGAAAGAGAATCACTCATGTCTTGGAACTGTACATCACAATAATATCAATTAATTGGAAATTGGAAACACTTTAATAAAATAATTGTGATTCTCTGTGACTTACCTCGTCATCTTTGTACCAGGACAAGCTTTCAGCAGTAAGGACGAACCAGTATCCCTTAGAGCCGCCTTTCATGATGCCAATGTTGCTGATGGTTAACCATCCCTTACGAATCACCTACAAGAGAGCACAGATTGGCAGAGATGTTGAATTTAATGTGAACCAATCGAGAGCATAGGTCTTGTACTAAGTGGAGTTAAAAACAACATATAAATTGCACTAAGAACAACATTGTTTCCCCAAAGCTCACCCTCTATTGAGCTATTTAAGACAATTTATCTTCCCAAACTACAGATAACCAGAGGGAAATCTCTCCCATCAAATGGACAAAACTAAAATTGCAGACTTATATGGATGGTGGAAGCAAAGCAACTGAAACAGAAAGAATTGAATGAGGCAGACTAATAGGCTTGTGCTCAGCCTATTTATGGCTTTGCTGCTATAATTAAAACATATTTAGTTGATTGGGTGAACAATAATAAACTCTCCAGGCCCACTGCCTCTCTCCCCCCTCCCAGTCCACTGGTCCATTTGTTTGTCTGGTTTGCATCTCATTAGGATTTTTCACCAGAGACTGGCCACCAAATGGTAAAAAGAAGAAACTCAAGTCAACCAATTAGTTCCTTGTTAACAGTTCACCACTCTAAATAAAACTGAATGAGGTTCAAGAAAGCTGAAACAATAAGCAAAAACTAAAAGTTTGGAGCTTCTTAATGGTCTAGATTTATCCATCTACTTCTGGTTGTTATTTGTCATACTAAAAAGCATGTAGCATCCTCATAAAAACCTATAAACAGCTTTTAAATTTTAAAACATAGTAATAACTTAGATTATAGCTCTGATAGAAATTATTTATAAATGGCTTTTAAGTGAAAATCTAACTTTTTCTCAGAGTTGCAAAGTTAAATTCTGCTTTTTCACAGGGCACAGATAACCATCTCCCCTATGCCAGATAGTTTTTGTTGTCATAGAACCAAAAATGAAATACTGTATGGAGTTACATGACACTGTTCTAAATATCAATAATCATCCTATACCTAAATTAATCAATATCCTAGAGACCCTGAAATAGCAAAAAAATTTACTTATTTAATGACTACTGAGTGTCAGTTCCTAAATGAAGATGAATTACCTGAATAGATTTTTTAAAATTATTGATAATAAGTTTTCTTGCTAAAGAAGAAAAGTCAATCCTAGGGAAAATTGTGAAATAAGCCAAAGTTGTTATTCTTGATCTTCAAGACTCTCTCCACACCCTCAGTCCTTGCCACCCTTGATTCCCTGCTTCAGCTTTCCCAGGTGTCCATTCTCCTTTCTAATGCTCTGTAACTTCTGTAAACCTCTACACAGAACCTCACTCCATCTCTGACTAAGGCAGTTCCCTCAATTGTTCAAAATTACTCCTGCCTCTTACTCTCTACTTCAGAAAGAAGGAAATAATACTTCTCAAAGTATGGTTTCTACCGACTATATTATAACCATCGGGATGCTTTTCCAAAACACAGATTCTTGGGCCACCCCCAGTCCAAATGAATCAGAATATGTACATATGAAACCCCAGAAGTCTACACTTAAACATGTGTCCAGGGTGGTTATTATTCATAGTGAAGTTTGATGGCCACTGCTTGTACACATACAGTCAAAACTTCACTCTCCTATAGCAAGTAATCTCATCTAATTTCTAGTAAGAAGCAAGTGGTCAAATTATTTCACACTAACATTGTTATCGACCCTATGAGGTTCTTACAAATAGCATACTAATCGCAGTACTAAAATGAAAGTATGCTTTCGTGCATCTTTGGATAGAATGGAAGTCTTTCAGTTACTCCATAAATTGCAATGAGCAAATTGCTATTTCACTCCTGGTAGGACAGGCTGTATCCAACAAGGAAAGGCATGAAAGTAGTGCAGTGAACATTTCTAAAGAACCTATCATATGTCAAGATGAAAAAATATGATGATGCCACAATTCTTGCCTCACGAATCTTACAGCTTAGTAGAGAAGGCAGATCCATAAAGATTTAATTTCAATCTAATAGTATAATAAGAAATGTATGTCAAGCAAGGGAAGGGGCACTTGACACAATTTAGGAAGTTGTCATAGGCTTTCTTTGAAGAAATGGTATCTCAGAAGAGGCTGGAAGAGAAACAGAATGCCAGGTCAGGGAGTACAGTAAAACCTTGGATTGCAAGTAACTTGTCCAGCAAGTATTCTGCAAGATGAGCAAACATTTCTAATAAATTTTAACTTGATAAAGAGCAGTGTCTTGCAATACAAGTAGTACGTGATGCTGAATGTCACATGATCATAACTGAACCAACGCTTCTTCTCTCTCTCTCTTGTTGTGGAATTGTAGGTGATCGTCTCCCATGCTCAGATGCTCGGTCTCAGGCCATGGTGTTTGGCAGAAATAAGTGATTTTTCAGAACATTAGAAGGTGCCCACAACTGGAACTAGTGTATTTTTTGTCACTTCAAAGGATCTATAGAAGGTCCTTTGCTTTTCTGTACAAGAGTAAGCTTAGGGATACTTTACTTCATTCTAGGTCAGGTTGCCTGCAGACATAGACCCTTTCCTCTGCTGCCTTATTGCCAGTTACATTAAACACAATATATGACAAGAGTTTATTAATACTGTACTGTAGTCAACATCCATGCAAACGTATGCAATGGCCTCCATGCAGGAAAAGGTGGAAAAGAAAGGCGGTAAGAAGATGATTACAGTGGAAGTTAAGGAAATCATTGAGCAGTACAAATGAGGTATGTGAGTGGCTAAAACTGCAAGATTTTATAAGAAGTCTACATCTGCATCTCGTCTACAGAGGAAGAGGAGAAAAAGATGGAGGAATCCCTCACTTCAAATGAGATTAGGGAGATGTGTAAAATGTGGGGAACGGTGCAAAATTTTGTAGAAAAGCACCACCCAAATAAAGTTGGAGCAGTGCGAGCGATGAACCTGTTTAATGACAATGCAATGTCACATTTCCGTGAAATCCTCTAAAGGAGGCAAGAGCAAGTGTCATTGGATAGTCTCCTTGTTAAGCTGCACGAAAAGAAAAAGACTCCATTGAAGCAATAGATAGCACTGATCTGTTAGTGATAGTGAAAGTTGTCCTACATAATAACCCTCCTCTCTCGTCTCCCTCACACCAGCCATGAAGGTTTTCAAAGGTAAGCACAGGTTAACTTGTTTATTTTTCTTTACATTTTGTATTTTCTTTATTATTTTGTATTATATTATGGTATTATAATAATTTTTATGTAAATACTTTTGGGTTGTGAAACGAATTACCTGGATTTCCATTATTTCTTATGGGGAAATTCGCTTTGATACATAAGCACTTTGGATTACAAGCATGTTTCCAGAATGAATTATACTCACAAACCAAGGTTTTACTGGAATTTGTTTATCTGTATGAAGAACAAACAGGAATAAAATATGAAAGAGCCACTTAATACAGAAAATGTGTGGTGGGGATGAAGAAGTTGAGGTCGGGGAGGCAGGTAGGGTAAAGTCAGAGTGGATCCAGTTCCATGAGACTCTAAATTTTACTGATCTCACTCCTCCTGGCAGTACTAAAATAAATTTCAAGTACATATATAAATTTATTTTTAAATTATAGGTAACCATTGTATTAATAAATTATGTACATCATATAGAAATATACAGAGAAATTTGAAAGTCTGCATGAAGATAAAATCAACCATACTAAAAGTTTTTTATTTTGTGGGGAAAATGTACTTTATGTCTTACATTTCCATTTTATTATTACTTCTCAAAAGTACAGAGCAAGGGTGCTGGCATCAATATGTATATTAAATATTAATAGGTCCGAATTGCTTTCTTATTTTCTAGATAAAAGTACATATAAGGAGTTATTCTACTATATCCTCCTTCATTCTAGTGGATTTGCACTCTCTCCAAGACAGAGAAACTAGATTATGTAAGCTATCGCAATAACTCAAATGAGAAATGACCAAGGTGTGAACTAAAGCCATGATGTAGTAAGGATGAAAATAAATAAACTTACTGGCGAAATACCCATGAAATAAAATCAACAGGAATTATAACTAGATGAGAGAGAGATTAGTGAATGTAAAGACTCTAGAACTGTACTTTACAGTAGCCACACATGGTCATTGGGCCCTAGTGACTAGTTTCAATTCAGGTGTTCAAGAAGTGTAAAATGCAACCTAGATTTTGAGAACTTAGTATCAAAAACAAAAACAAAAACCTCGTAACTGTTTTAAGATTTATCATATATTGAAATAATATTATGTTGAATACATTAGGTTAAATAAAATTGCTTTTTAGTATTCATTCCACTGTTTCAGTTTATTTAAAAAAGTTTTTTCAATGTTTATCATTTTTTGAGAGATAGACACACAGCGTGAGTTGGGGAGGGGCAGAGAGAGAAGGAGACACAGAATCTGAGGCAGGCTCCAGGCTCTGAGCTGTCAGCACAGAGACTGGCATGGGCTTCCAACTCATGAACCATGAGATATGACCTGAGCTGAAGTTAGACACTTAACTGACTTAACCACCCAGGCACCCCTCATTTTATTTTTTAATGTGGCTGTCAGAAAAGTTTAAATTACATATGTGGTTTACATTATATTTTTATTGGACGTTGTGCTGTTCTAAAATGATTTTGAAACTCTTGGGGCTACCAACCTATAAGGAACAGAGGAGAAGAACCAAGTGTTGGAAAGTAGAGGAGTTGAGGATAAATTCAGCCAAAGTCATGTTGAATTTGACGTACCTATAGAAAACACACATAGAAGGGACCCAACCTCTGAAGCAAAATGGCAATGTTAGGAGTAGAAATGAAGACTTCCAAGTCCTACATCTGGATATAAATACAGATATATAGATATAGACATAGATAGAGGCAGATATAGATAGATACAGATATGTCAGTTAAAACTTTGAGTGAAATAGCAGTGGCTCACAGTGGAATCCTGGAGAAATACCAACATTTAAAAAGAGATCAGAAAAGAGCCTGAAAAGGAATGTCAGAGAAATAATAGCAATAAGGTCATGGAGGCCAAAGGCAAGGAGAGCTTCAAGGACAGTGTAGTTGGAAGTGTCAAATTCAACACAGAGAGGGATGTGT